CAGGGAAGCCGGAGCAGCGACCCGCTGTCCGGCTGTGCGGCAGCGAACGGAGGCATCAACCTGCAAGCGACGGAGGCAAAAATCGATGAGCTCGAACGTGGCGAGTTCGACCTCAAGCTCAAGCTGTTCTACATGGAGGAGCAGCTGGAGTTGGCTGCCGGGGGGACTGACGTGCTGCAGCTTCACAAGGAAGTCATGGAAGCGAAGCTGGTGAGTGTGCTGCGGCCCCTCGCCTCCCATCGGGCAATTGTCTCATGTTTGGTTCCGCCGCTTGGCGATGGTGCCGAGAGCTTCGTCGTGACGGCAACGGCACCGGCAAGGGTAAGGGTCGATCAAGTCGGCACTGCAGTTGTGACGTTGTGGCCAAAGCCAAAGGGACTGGACTCTAGTCAAGTATCAGTCGCAACCGTGATCCCGCCCAATGGTGCCGTCTGACGACAGCTTCCGTGAGATGCAAGGTCCACTCGGGAGAACTGGCTTTATTATTGTGAAATAAAATGACGGTTTCAACTTGTGTTACGGGGTGGGCGAAGAGACAGGGTTGTGTGGCCACTACTGTATCAGCAGTAAGCTGTAAGACCTAAGGCCCCCATAGCGTATGGGAATTTTAACTTTCGAGGTGGTTCGTGGACGATATCTGGTCATGTCATACCAGCATCTACAAGGCAACCTCAACGTTGTAGCGCAAACATGTACACGTACACGTACGTTGGTATGCATACTCCTACGTCGCACATTGGTTCCTATTTATGTTGACCGAAACCGCTGGAGGTGCAAGACCTGTGGGGGCGTACAGAGTACACCGACATTTGATTACAGTATGGGTATATACTCTGTACCCTTCATCGGTACCATATAAATTTGAAAATAGGCTTCATGCAAAGCGTGACACCGTATTTTGTAGGCACATGGCGGTAGTACCGCCCCTCCACCCTCGGCTAGCGGGTATTCGCAGATGATGAGGTCTCTCCATTCTTGAATCCCAACAAACGAGAGTTCTGCAGCAGTACGTCTAGTCATCCCTAAGGCAGCCCACTCGGAGCCCCAAGAATCCATCCCCGTGTTTGCATAGCTCTTCTGAGGTTTATCTCTAACGAAATTAAGTTTACACAGGGAGATAAAATCTCGTCTTGGTGGCGACAATGGTTTTTGAGAGCTCGACCACCAATACATGTAGCAACTATCGCTGTTCACACTGAGAGACTTTCAGGCTGCCCATGCACACGCATAGGATGAGACCAGGAAGCCGTCATCCGGAATTTCTTGGGTCGCAACAGGCTGTCGGCGTGCAGTCTGCAGGGAGCTTGTTTGTGCCCACTCCGGTCGGGGAGATTGGATTTGTGGAGCTCATGATGTAGCACAGAGGGTATTTGATAGAATTCTCTCGTGATGAGATTCGCCTCTTCTTGTTCTTCCGTCCAACGCCCCCCCCCCCCTGTACAAAAAAAAAAAGGAAATGTACGTGACTGAACTGGGAAAATAAAAAGAAATTACCGGGAGATGTTTGAAGCATGGAATAGCCAGGAGATGACGGTAGCTGTACTGGGGCATAGGAAGCGGGTTGAAAAGGCGGGAAGTGATATCGCTAGGATAGATGGACTAGGGAAGACAATTTTGAGCCACCTTTGGCAAAGTAGGAAGGAACCATTGGCCATCGGTGATCGGTCCTGTGGGCCTAAATCTCGAGGACGCATGGTCAATGATCTAACCGCTAAGGCATGCAAAACATAAGAGTACGCTCCCCCCTACCCTACGCCCCGGCTGTCCGACTCGCGTCCGGGCGTCTCGATTGCCCGTCTAGTGAGATGGGAGAAGTAAGTGCTCCTTTTTTCCTAACCCTTGCCACGTTCGCGTGTTTCTCGTGCCCAAGCAGCACCGCGCACAGGCGGAGGAGAGGGCGCAGGCTGCGGGAGACGCCCTGTCTGGACTAGAGGCCAAATGCAGGGAGCTCCAGGCACAGGTATTCCATCAACAAACGCTGCTTTTGTCGAAGCTGGTGGCGAACTATGTTCTTTGCAAAGAGTCTCACAGCAGTGTAGTGAATAGTGGAAGCAGTAAACGTTGGTTCTTTGTTGTGAACTGGACACCACGCAAGATGGTTTACCTTCATCAGCATTAAAGAAGGCAGCGGCGCTGGCAGCCGTAAGCTTCTTTTGCCACGGAGGTCGGTATTGGCCACAAAGTCAGAAAGAGGCGGTGCTCGCATTAGCCAAAGCCGCTTCGTGAACCAGTGGTGCTATACCTCATTTTGACCCTGTTGTAAGCCTTCATCTTGAACACTACTGCTGAAGCATGAAGGCATAGCCAAATCACTTATGTCTTTCAGATCACCATGGAGCAAACGTACTAAGACCATCTACGTCGGGCAAATCACCTCGGGCAAACTATCCCTAATCACCGATGTCTTTCAGATCACCTCGAGCAAACATTGCCAAATCACCGATCCACATTGCCCTATCACCCATCACCTCGACAACCTCCGGCAAATATCGTCCAATCACCGATTACCTCGGGCAAACGTAGCCCAATCATCGACAACCTCGGGCAAACATTGCCAAATCACCTTCCACCTCGGGCAAACATTGCCCAATCACTGATCACCATCGGGAAACATCGCCCAATCACCGATCACGTCGGCGAGCGTCCGACCAAATCACAGGAGTTGAGTACGAGGGCTTCGCCATTGACGGCTGCTGCTGCTGCTGCTGCTGCTGCTGCTGCTGCTGCTGCACGCGCTTTTGTTGTGCTGTTTAGGTGCGAGATGTCGAAGCACAGAGGGCGAAGGACCGGGAGAACTGGGCCATGCTCGACGGGGAGAGCGAGACCAAATTGAAAAAACACGTGAGTCCAAACATGTGCCGTGAAGTTGGCCAGGTTTAGACTGCACATGTTTCGGTGAGCGGCCGTTGCCGATGAAGCTGGCTATCCTCGGTTCCGCGCACGCATGCCTGGCATCGGATAGCGTCAGGAAGCGTTCATGCCGCACGTTGGAGAGGAATCGTATGGGATCACGATAGGAGCACTACGAGAATGTCGGATGTCCGCACGAGCATGCAATGACGGTCGCTGATGTATTTCGCACCCGCAACTCTCTGCGCTAGCGGTAGGGCTCAAGGACCCAGTTTTGTTTTCTACTATTTTGCGGCGGAATGGTTTTGTTGTTTCCGTCCCTCCTGTTCTCGACGCCAGTCTGCACTTTTCTCCTTTTGGCAAGAGAGTGTTGAGTGAGTGGAAAGATGCGAATTCCTTCTAGTTGTCATGTTTCAAGAAGATTAGAGCAGTAGAGCTTAGAGAGGAGGTATCGTCGATGGTCTCTTGACAACGAGAACCAATTGATGTTCACCGCCAATCACAAGACAAGAGTCTCAATCATGGGAAAACCAACCGACACACGTATATGCGGCCCTGCAGTTTTCAGACCCCACTCCATTTGACCCCTCCGATATTCGTAATAGTAACCGTTCATTTATTTTTTTATCCCGGCCCACCGATCGATCCAGACGCATCTCCTAGAGGATGCTCTCCGGACGGAGCGGGCGGAGAACCAACGGCTCCGTGTTGCGAGGGACAACCGGAGGAGAAGCTGGGACGTCCCTGGCGGGAGCGGCGAGCAGCAGCCGAGAGCGCCGCCGCGCCGAAGGAGCAGCGGGGAGTACGAGCATGTGCACCAGGTGAGCCAAGCAGCGATGACATATTCCGGTGGCATGTGTCTTTGAACAGCAGTAATCTATTGTACTCTGTTACCAGGGAAAGTCGTGGTTTCTTTCTGTCAGGCTGGCCTATCAAGTAGGGAGAGTAGATCGTGGGTGTAGAGGTTGGAACGTTCGTTTGGCGTGAGGACGGGAGCAAAAAGTGGTCGGTAACTACAGGGACTGAGTGCTGCCCTCCTGCGTCCAAGCCATGTCTGCCAGAAATAGCAACGGGTACCCGCATCCTCCTGCCTGTCTGCCTGCTTTGGAGCACCCCGCTTGTGGCACATTACGAAGGCTCTTTCGAGTAGCTCGTGTATCTAGATCCCTCAGGCACGTTTTGCTGCTGCTGAGGCGCCCTTACAGTGGCCCCGTGTATGACAATATATCTCGTACCCCCCCCTTCCACATAAAGGTGGGCCCTCGGCGCGTTGGCAGCGGAAGCTGGGGAGGCCTTGCACGTGAGCACCACGAGCAGGATCGACAGCTAGCGGCGAAGGTTCGGTCCCAAGATTCCTCGCTCCGGTCCTTGCGCGCGGACGTTTCTACCCTTAGGAGGCGACTGAGGACGCAGGCAGAGACACTGGCGAAGCAGAGAGAGGAGAACACCACCGTGCGCCGGGCGGCGGAACAGGTTAGGGTTGGGGCTAGGTTCAGGCCGGTACCTTCGGGGGAGGGGAGAGACGGACTGGAAAATAGAGTACCCGCTTTTCGTTGTATGCATCCGAGCCACGCAGGCATGAGAAGTTCGATGGTCCCGTACACCCTGGCCCTGGGCACCGTATCATGTGCCTTGTGCTGTGTGGGGTCTCTACTCTTTTTCTCTACCCCTGACCACGCTGCTGCCCTTGCTGCCTACGATGACAACCTGGCTCTTTGTCGACTGCTTGTTGCGCCCTGCACTCCACGCTGATCGTGCCCACCAAACACCGGACAGGTGGCTTGCGTAGAGGCGGAAGAGATCGCGAGGCTAGCGGTAGACCTGGAGCGAGCGGTCCGCGCGGCCAACGCGGAGGCCGAAAAGCGCCGGCACGCTGAAAAACGCCTCCAGGCTGCGGAAACACGCCTGCTGGACGCTACCGCCGGGTGTTCGCCACTTGTTCTACCAAGGCCCGAGCGGGCGCGATCCCCTCGTGCCTCTGCCGGTCGCGTCGAGGCGCCGGCGCTAAGGGAGGCGGCGAGGGTGTGTCGGAAGCCGTTCGGGCCGGCCGCCGCGGAAGGTTGTACCCCACCGGGGTCTCCCAACGGGGATGGCGAAAGGGCTAGCGGCAGCTCCCTCCCTCCGTCGAGAGGAGCGTTGGGCAGCACCATTGCCTCGAGGGGGAGGTCTGCCGCGGCGGCTCGCAGGAAAGAGGAGGGTTCGAGTGCAGGGAAGGGGAGGTCCCAGAGCTCCCCTCCAAGAGGCCGCGACACGGAGACCAAGGGCAAGAGACGGCCGTGGGGGTCTTCTCCGCCCCCAAGCCCTCCCCGCGGGGGGAGCTTGCTCGGCAAGCCGACTGTTGCGAGCAAGCTTAACCCGAGTCGCCTTCGGCGACCGGGAGAAAACGAGGCTGAGCAGAAGCAACCCCCCCCGCGGCGGCGCCCCGGCGAGGTTATCGGTGCCGTCAAGCGCGAGTCTACCGGTTCGCCCGGCAACGGCACCGAATCGCGTGGGGTTCAAACCGGGACTACCCAGGACCCGTCCGATTGCTCCGTGGGTCCGCGGGAAGCGGATTCTGCTGGCGAGTCGAGAAGAGGGGGGTTCACCACCGTCGGACGGGGAGGTAGTACGGCTCCCCACGTAGATGAGACCGCGGAGCCCCGCATAGAAGCAGCCAGCGCGGGGCGCGATCTAGGTATTACGCCGACTGTCGGGGGGATAGCGGCAGCAATCCGCGGTGTAGATTTGAAGGCAACGATCGCCCGAGAGCTGAGGGCCGCTGTCGCGACCACCCCCGCGTCGGCTGTCTCTTCCGAGAATTTCAACGGCGGCGGTGGCGGCGGCGGGCAGAGAACGCCCGCGGGGGGGGGTGCGCCGCCAGGAGGAGACCGGCAGCTGGAGAAGGCTTTGGGAGAGTTGGACGGAGGGGACCTGCTGCACGAGATAACGCGCGGCAGCGGCAAGTGCGCGTGGACCGACTTGATACCTGACACGGTAGCGGGCGGCTTGTCTTCGGCGGCCAACAGCGGCCGGGTATTGAAGAGCCGGGAAGTGGCCGAGCTTGAATCGGACGTGCAGCACATCTTTCAGTTTTTTGCTGCCAAGGATGGTCGGAAGCGCTCGGGTTCATTGCTTTCGAAAGCAAATGGAGCGAAGGAAGGGGAAACGGACTTTTTGGAGGAAATCGGCAAAACGTTGTCGTAGTCATCATGAAAGTTGTTACAGTAGAAGGGGGATAAGTAGCCGTCGGTAACGATGCGCTGTAATATGTTAGCTGTTATAGTCAGCGAGAGCACTAGACCCGCCCTTTATTTTCATATACATACATATAGCACAATTTTTCCTTCCGTCGTCGGTTGGCGTCCTAAAAGCCAACCACTCGTAGTTCCAACTTTACACCTGTTCTTGAAACGCGCTTTGGCGGCACCAACGTAGTGCTGTATTATTGTTGGTAAACGGACTTGCCGGGAAAAATATTTTTCGAACTGTCTTAAACGCGGAAGATTTGCAGGGGGGAAGAATGGACTCTCCATGACCGGGCAACTGCTGTACGAATTCATCTACTGGAGCTAAACCTGAGCCGAGCTGAAGGAAATACCCGGCGCGGTAGGTTGTGGCAAGGGCAGAGGCCTGATGGCACCTTGGTGGTCTCATTGCCATGACGGACAAACCCAGCGATGGAGCTGAAAGCCACTAGCTTCCAACGGCTACCGGACCAAAGTTCACACGTGTTCATATTTTTACACCACAGCGCATACAGACAAGGACAGATGATCCAGACTCGGATGTAAGCGTGGCCCGAAAGCCGACAGTTAAACATGCACACTCGCAACTAACCAGGCCAACGTTGGGCACAAAAAAAACAACTTAACCAGACGAACGTTGGACACACAAATAAAACTTACGTTTTGTTTTGCAATACCGAAGAGAGGCCAAAACATTCCTCCCGGCCTTTCTTGAAGCAAAGGCTACTCGGCACCCCGCGATTCTAACTTCACCCGGATGAAGTCCTCCCTAAACCTTGTGTTACAAATTTAGCCCTACGATGTTTCACGCCTCTCGTTAGGTGAAAAATCTTTGCTAACGGAACGCCTACTTTTCCCCGCCGGTTCCGCACCATCCAATGTCGACAAAACTTACGCCAACACCTACTTGTCTTCCTGAGGATGCTACAGTCCAACCCAAGCACCACACTTTCGTTCCTCTCAAATCTAAAAAAATCACCTCACACAACACAACAACGAAACACTCATGCTAAACCATCGACATTCAAAATTCTTTCTTCAAAAAATGTACGTCTCCGAAACCACAAAAAAACAGAGCGATCCTCCAAGCGCTGAGTGAGACACGGAACTCTCGTTGACCCGTAACCTTTCTTCCAGCGGTAGAAAAAAAGGCGTCTGCGATGACGAGACACACGGCAGCAGTCAACCAAGGGCCGTGAAATAACCGTCACCAAGGGGGCGACGGCGTCACTGATAGTGGCAGCCCCCGCCCCCCCTCAGGATCTTGTGCGTACGGTAAGGGACACGCACGCAAGATGTCAGCACTTGAAGCGTCAACCGACTCTATCCTTCTCCCCTTGCGTTGCATTCACAATAATAAAAAAGAAGTTTTTTAACCGTGTTCCCACAGCGGGCATGTTCCAACATGACACACCCCAGAGCCGACTCTGCCGCTGTCGTCAAAGCGCAGAACCGGAACCATTTCTCAGCCACGCGTTGCTCCCGGAGAATTCGAACGGGCGTCATCGGTCGCTTGCATCGGAGTAGAAATAGAGGCCAGCACATCGTCCCACTCCGACCGAGAGCCAGCATCGTCATGCCCGGCCATAAGATCATCAAGGTCGAGCATCGGTGCTGGCGAGGGTGCCACCGCCGCCGCCGCCGCCCTCCCGTGGGTGCGCCCGCCGAAAGGCAAGCCACCGCCGCCGCCGCCGCCGCCACCGCCCCTCGAAGGCTGGCTCCCGCCGGAGCTACTGTAGTGCAGGCTTGGCGACGAACACGGCGGCGGCGCCAGGCCTACTCCGTTCGCCAAAGGGTTGGGGTAAGACGACAACGTGCCCGCCACGGCGGCAGCAGATCCCGCGGGGCCCCCGCTCGCGATGGCGCCGCCTCCGTGCAGGCCGCTCAGGCCGTGCGCCTTGCGAATCGATCGAGCCGGGACTTGCACCGTAAAGCTTCTCCCGGGGCCTCCTCCCGGGTTGGTCAGGTTGCCGCCTTCGAGGGGGGTCCCGGCGGCAGCAGGCCCGACGTTCACGTCGGTATCCCCCCGGGGGTCCGCGCGGGCGCTGCTGCCGTGGAGCCGCGTGCGGTCGCCACCCCCGCCCCCGCCTGCTCCGCCCGACAGGGACAAGCGGCCCGGGTTGAGGTACGCCGACGAGCGCCAGTTGGTACCGCCGCCGCCCACCCGCCCGTGTCCGTGCACCGACTTCAACGCCGCCCCCGCCGGCTGGCCGAGCCCTATAGTCGCCGCCGCTGCCGCCGAGCTGCCAGCGCTGCTTGTGGTAGGGCAGAGGAGGAGGCGGGAGTGAGGATGGGGACGCGGGGGGTCAAGTGTGGACCGACTACGACAAATGTTCAGTATCGCTCATGGCCTGCAAAGCATACCGCAACACAACCAGACCACACAATTGGTATCAACTGCGTCCACGCGGCTGCGCGCCGCCACCGCAGCTTGCTTCGCTTCGCAATCGCAATCCACAAGAGACTCAACTGCCTCCTGGGCCCCCGTAACCCTTGCTTGACAGGCCGATTTGGCTAGATACCTCGACATACATGACACTACCAACATGCAAGAGTATTTGGTAGCCGCTCCGCCAACCCGGAGGCTCCTCACTTCGGGTGTGTCGGGTCGGACGGAGACCAAGCTGGTGACGGATGACCCGCTACCCTCAACGACGGTTCTCTTTCCTTCGTGACCAATCAGGTGCGAAAGGCTGATCTACATAGCAATACTGATGCTACACACTACTGTTCGCTTGATCTGGACCCCAAGAGACCAAACCTACCTGCTGCCGGAGCTCCCGCCCCTCCCGGCCGTCTCTCGAGCCATCCGCCTGCCAGGCGCCATCGCACCCATCGCCCCCCTGTTCGGCTGACTAGGCCTCAGAGAAAACCATGGGTCCCCCTCCGCGTGCCCGAAGCCTGCGGACCCCGCCGCCGCCGCCGCCGCCGAAAGTGGGTGGTGGTGGGCATGGCCTCTCGGTCCCACCACTCCGTACGCCGCCGAAGGGGGCATGCCCAAAGCGGCGGCGGCCGCGGCAGCGGCTTCGCCTGCGGCGGCCACGCGGGCCTGGCGAGACGAGCTCGCCGGCCCGGCCGCCACCGCTGCCTCCTCGACTCTGCGGCGGGTGTACTCCTCGACAGCGGATCTCTGAGAGGCCGGGTCGAAGAAACCGCGGCGACGGCCCGTAAGGTTGCCCCCGTTCAAAACCCGGAAGCCGAAGTCCGCCATGGACGACGTGGAGCCCTGCTTTTCGTGGGGAGGGGGGATTGTGGTGGTGGATGGGACAGTCGGGACAAAAAAAGTCTCAAAAGAGTTAGGCACGACGAGAGGCAGCTGGAGCAGCGCCCATCGTGACTACTGGTACATGATAGAAACAAACGTCAGAGACAAGATAACACTATATGCCTGCAAAGACAACGCAGCGGCAAGCAGGTCGTAGTCTCGCATCGTCAGTGATGCCGCCTCTCCACCTTGAAGAAACCCCCGTGAATAACATACAATGGCCGAACAGATCAACTCCGCCCGCAACACCCACGCATACTTGGCATGCGAGGCTTGCATTCCTGACCAAGCCGCCCGCATTAAGCACGACCGTTCACATGTATAAATCGTCCAAACACACGACGAGAGCAGACCGCCCATTTCGAGACACAAGGGCCGCACGAAGCCTCACGTCTTGAGCACGCAGAGCACGACGCCCCACCCGGCGAGACTTGGCCTCCTCCCGCAGTTTCTCCAGCTCTGCCGCCTGCTCAGCGATCGTGTCTTCCGCGCTCCGCTGGGCGTCTCTCAAGCTGCGCCTGCGGCCTTCCGCCTCCCTCGCGAGCTTCTGCCCTCTCTCCACCCTAGCCCGCCATTCGTCATCGTCCATGCCCGCGGCAGTCACAGCTCGGTCCACCACCTAAACACCATATAAGGCGAGTATACAGGAATGGAGTTACATTGTGTAGGGCCAACGGGGAGGGGGAGGGGGGGGGGCATGGCCGAGAACTTCACTCGGTCCAGACACAGCAGTCTGTTCGCCGACAGACCATGGGGCACACGGCAATAACACGCGTGACCATCGTCCACAAGCGCAATGCTACATGTACGTATACCAACCGTAGGCCTCTTGCGTCTTCCACCAAAAGTACCGCCTGCCACGGCTGCAAGGGTTGTTCCATGTAACACCGCCCTCCCAAGACCCCGGGTCTGGTTGAGTTACTTGGAGTTGGTGACTTCTGGCCTTCTTTAGACGGTTGTGACGCACTCCCCGCGTTCTTCTCGCTGGAATCGAAACCAACAAGCTATTTTCGTGACACTATGCATACTATTTACCAGTTTGTTACTGAAAGGGCACACACCCGTAGGACCCCGAATATTTCTTATAACGGTGCGTCAAAACATGGCGAAAACCGTCGCCCAAAACTTGGCATGGAAGCACGCCAGTATACGTGTGACACACCTCATCCAGCACGACACATCGTCGGAAGTCGCTTCTTGGAACTGATACGTGACAGGTCGGGCAGTCCATCGTTGAGCTCGTCTCCTGCAGGTGGGCAGGTAGAAACACAAACAGCAAACAAACGCGGAAAGAAAGGAAACGGGCCATGTCTTTTGTTTAAGGAACAAGCGGCGAGTTTTCCAAGGAACGGATTCATTTCAATGAGAAGATTAGGGGCGGGAACTATAATACAACAAAAATATATACCGAGCAGATCGACTGCTCTCTCTCTCTCTCTCTCTCTCTCTCTCTCTCCGCTCTCTCGTTCGCAGGATAATCTCGATTCTGTCAGTACAGTGGTGGGCCAGTGGATGTCGCGCGCTTGCGCCACCAAGACACTAGCTAAAGATGGGACATTTTCTGGTCACCTTCGCGTGTTGATGGTGTACTTCGAAATGCTTCACCGAGCAGCAGTAAGAGAGTGATAATTGAAGAGAGTCCTTCGTGGGCGTGACCTTCGCCTAGAGTATATCATAGGAGCTCTTGAAATAGATTCGGCAATAGTAGCCCAAGTGGTCCGTCCATAAGAAGGCCGGTCAACCTCTACAAGGTCGGCGAAATCGCGTGATAGAATATTCAAGTTGTCTCATACTCAACGGAAAAATGCCGGGCGGTACATCAAGATACCTATACAGATGGGTATATCTCGAATGGGTAGTCTTTCTGTGTGTGTTTTTATTATTCCTTAATACCTATACAGATGTTTTTGTACTTCGCACCAGCTGGCATCACTGATATAAATCATCAGTATATAGACTTAAAAAGACTCGAAATAAGTCCAGTACCCAGCCGGTTTTCCTCCAGTCCCTGCAAAGACTCCACCACACCCCGTTCGACTGTGGGTATATCTCGAATGGGTAGTCTTTCTGTGTGTGTATTTATTTTTCCTTAATCAAGACCGCCAATTCCCTTGATGCTATTGTACCGCATGCATATGCGATAAATATATTTGCACACAGGGGTCTTTCTGTGTGTATGTATTTTTCCGAACACATGGGCCACAACTGTTGTTGGGTGAAGTCAAGACCGAACGTTGTGGAAGGAAGAAATGAGCAGCAGCACCGATGATGAAATGGATGACAACACAAAGAATACGTTGTCTCTCAGCACGCCAACCCGATTGCTGTATTCACATGAATGCTCCCGCATCTGCGTGTCAGGTGAAGCCAAGGAGGCAAGCAAGCACGCACTAAATTGGTGGGCGCTTCATTTTACATCGACCGCGACAACAGGGGAGCATGGAGCATGGTCTCTGAAAAACTCATATACATGAGTGAATTTTCTGTCAGCACAGGGGCAGAGGTGTGTACCGTCGTGTTCTGCGGGAATGAAAGTCGAACGCAGGACAACTAAATACCACGAAATACCACACAAGACATCATCATCCCCAACAAACACTGGGCAGAGAGGGTTTAGAGAGACAACACGAATGCGACGTTCAAGGCCGAAAAAAAAAAAGGATCACGTCATCAGTCTTGGACTCCGGATCTTGTTGGAGACATGTTCTACAACCTGCTTGGACTCCCAGCCCACAACTTTCCACGGAGAGGCAGGCGGAACTTCAAATGACGGAACGAACGGGTAGTCTTTCTTTGTGTTTGTTTTTATTTTTCCGTATCATGTACATAAAATACCGTGAAACAACAAATTTATCGACGACATCGATGATGCAGCAAACGTCAACGTCGTTGTCCATTGATGCCCGGGCTTACGTGGAATTTGCACATGAACGATACTATCAACGTATTTTCTTGTATCATCCACGCGAAATATTTTTCTGCCACAAGAAATATCCCCGCTGGGGTGCCACGGGTCGTATGTATGTCGTATGTGCAACACGCAAGGGTGCTGTCTCCGAAAATACATCGTATCTGAGGGTCGTCGGAGATGAGCGGCGAATTTTCCGTGGATGTGTGCATCTTTCGAACGACCAAGAACGACCACACGCGAGGAGAGAAATTTTCTTTTCTTATATTGAAAAAACAGCAGTAACGCTACACGTATGTTTGTGCTGCACAGAAAGCTTTCTGTCTCTCATTGAATCCGCACGATCAGCGGGCACGACACGCTTGAGACGTACTTGAAAATACCTTACATGATGCCTTGCTTGGTTCGCCCGTCGGGTCAGCAACGCACTTTGTCGGCAAGATATGCGCCGCAGGCCGCAGGCAGCAGTTTAGCGGAGGATATCGATCGACGTTCGGAAAAGAACCTTCGGAACGTGTGTCTGTGTTCTAATGATGAGTGACGTGCTGGTGCTGCTGTGGCGAACTTTCGGCCACCATGATCAAAGGACAAGACGCTCATGCCACGCGTGCAGCAGCAGAGGGTGAAGTGGCATGGTCCACACGGAAAAAAAGAAGCGCCCACACAGATCCCCGCATGTATGCCACCTACTTGCATCACCACCTCAAACGACTGACTGAAATCTCTTGGTCGTTGGAGAGGAGGGTCGAGATCGGCCAAGGGCACCATGGTTGACAGCAGAACTACATTACAGTGCTTGTTGTGGTGGTACGAGACCCAGAGCAATAACGACAGCAGCAACAACAGACGCGCTCACCCTTGAACACCAGTCGTGAGCGCACTCCCAGCAGGATCCGTGGCCGCATGCGAAGAGCGCCGCCACGGCCAGAGGATTGAAGCACATGGCGCATTCCAAGTTCCGCGGCAACTCTTGCGAAGCCGCCGCCGCCGCCGCTGCTGCTGTTGACCCGCCGATCCCGACATCATCTTCGCTCGGGTTGATTGTCGAAGTCACCGCTGCCTTTGCTGCGGCCACGACGCCTCCCAACCATCCTGCCGACCCGTTGCTGGCTGGCGTCGAAGCGTCCTTCTCCTCCACCGAAGGCTTGCCCTCCCCTAAGACAACGTCGACGTCGCCGCTGCCAGCGGCCGCGGGCGCGCCGCGTTGACCAGTAGCTGCAGCAGAGGTCTGCTGCATTTCCTGTTTGTGCGATCTCGCAGCAACAGATGATGCCATCATCGAAAACCCGATCTTCACGCCGCCGCTGCCGCCGCCGGGGGGCTTCGCCAGGGCGCCATCGCCCTTGAAACCACCACGCGGATCCCTGCCGGCGCCGGCACGCTCGATCGATCTAGCCGCCCCTCCCCCCGTTGGCATGCGAGAACGGAGGTCAGCAGCAGTAGCACCTACGACATGATTTGAGAACTCGTCTTGAAACAGGGGCGCTGCTGCTACAGCAGGAGCGTCAACTTCGAGGTTGGCGGAGAGACGGTTTCTCAAATCGTCTTCGAACAGTTCGCTCCGAGCGGGTGGTGGCTGCGCGTCTTCGTCGTCGGAGAGTATCTCGATCACCTCCTTGGCCTCTTCGTGGTCGTTGAGCCGCCCGCTGCTGGCCGCCGCCCCGCTGCCCCCGCGCCTGCTGCCACCTTCTTCGCCCGGCACGCCCGGGGAGACGGCTGCTGCTACTGACCGAGATCGTTTCACTGGGCGGTACTCCATGTGTTCTTCTTCCTCTTCCTCCTCTTCCTCTTCCTCTTCTGCCACGTCTATCTCTATCTTATCTCCTTCGTCGCCGTAGGCCGATGGTGGCCCTTCTCCATCGTCATCTTCCCTGGCAAACAGCGCGAACAACTCGTCCATTTCCTCGAAAGAGAGGGAGGAGCTTTTGAGAGCGATGACAGAGGAGGGAAAGTAGGAAGCGCACCAGATCGAAGAGAGCTAGAAGGCGGCGGGGAAAAAGCGGAAAACCGAGCCGTCCAAGTCTTCTTTCTTTCCTCTAGCCTTTCCTGAGTACCCAGGAGGTGCAGGGTATTGGTGCGAGCTCTTGAGCAAGATTCGCCAAAGCTCTCGGGCTAGCACAAGAGAGCGCGCAAGAGAGGTGGCAGGGTTGTGGGCTGGGTGAGAATGATTGATGTGAAGTGCACACACGCTAAAAAATATTTTCTTTTTTTTCTGCACTCTCCCCCCTGCAACAACAACATACGACCAACTGCGTACCCCCCAACTGGCAATGTCAATGGCAATGTCAAAAAAGGCTTAGTAGCAGCACAGCAGTCTCCGCTTTGGCTGCCCCTGCTGTAGTTGCTATGCCTGTCGCTGTTGGTGTAGATCTGGGCAGCACGCACTGCAATATCGGTGTGTGGCACCAGGGACGACCAGAGGTCATCGCGAACCACCATGGCCTGAGGTCCACTCCCACAATGGTGGCCTTCACTGACAGCGAAGTCTTGGTTGGGGAGGCTGCCCTGTCGCAGATGCCCAAGAACGTGGCTAACACCGTGACTGGCTTCAAGTGGATGGTCGGGCAGAATCACGACCAGATGGAGCCTCACATCAAGGCGATGCTGGGTGAGTGGCTCTGGAGAGAAAATGCTGCCGCGACGAGTACAAGAAGTTTAGACATCCCTGGCGACTGCTTATCTCGCAGCCACTGATGATGCCACCGAGTGATGTACGTGTGCTTGTGTAAGTCTCTTCCCCTGTGGAGAAGTGGCACCTGCACCACTCTCTTCGTCTCTTGTCGATTTTGCACGGGCCGTGTATTGGACTAGTCGTTGCCACGTGCAGACCCTCTCTGCCAAGAAGCAATTGGCCGCTGTATCGTGCTGCAGCATGCTCGAGAGAGGCAAGGATAAAGAACGGCGGTGCAGGTGTTTTTTCAAAAATTTTGTGGCAGAGGCGAGCCTCAGTGTGACGTGGGATATCACCCCCTCTTACTTCTCCCAAGGATGGCCTCTCTTCTCTCTCCACAGCGGGGGGAGGGGGCGGGGGCGGGGGGCTGGTAGTATGCTACTGCAAACACACTTAACTCCAGAGGTTGTGAAATTCATCGAAAGTCGTCAGTTTTACGGTCATCCTGACCATCAAGCAACACCTTGCCTTTTCGAAATGTATGTATGTACATACAGAGTCGTGGTCCCGGTTTAGCCGGTCCCTGTTTAGCGGGATGCCCTGAATAGCGGTCCCAAAATCTCGTGGCACGGCTGCACCTCGATTGTCAAACTACAAAATAGCTGCCAATCCGTTTTACCGGCGATGCCCTCAATAGCGGTTACAACATTTTGTGACACTATGGACCGCTAGACCGGTACCACGACTGCTGTGTGCATTATATGTACGATCTGCATGACAAGGGTCTCCTCATCTCTGGTTCACACACACACTCCTGTTGCTGAGATTGTATTAAATCAACCTTACAATCGACTTCTTGGTCGACAAGGAGAGGAGGGAGCTGAATTTCTTTCGCGATAAAAAAGGAAGGCAAGGAACATATGAGCAAAAGGTAGGTACATTTTACCATGTTTTACCATGTTGCCTTCTTGCTGTGCAACCTTCCTATCCTTTCATATGCCTGGCTGGTGCGTGTTTTAGGAACAGCTTTGTCTGACCTCCAGAGTACTGTACCACACTGGATTGCAACACACACAGGCCTCTCTCTTTACTTTTTCGTGGGTACATCAGCACGCTGGACCAAAAAATGTCTCCATCATATTCCCGGCCTATCATGTCAAGTCAGTCGCACGTGCTCCAAGTCTGCTGTACAAAACGGTAGCAGTCAAGCTTGCATTTCATGGTATGCATAGACCACAACAAAGGTCATCCATAATCAACGGGTGTTAATTTCCAATACAAAAACTTCCGCTTCAAAGGTAGAATCGCGCATTGTACAGCATTATGGGCGTAACTTTCGCAGACCGTCGATTCCCAGCAACGGCACAGCCCTTCCTCTCCCGCTTCTTGAAGAATCGAACGGCCTTTCACGCACACACACACCCGACCGACAAATCCATTCCCGCCGCCTTGCCTTTCTTCGCCACCGCTCCTCAGAGTCATCCCCCTTCAGATGCAGCGTGGATTCCAAGGGCGAGGCCCGAGTAACAGTCCAGCACAAGGGCGAGGAAAAGGTCGTCGGGGCCGAGACCCTCTGCCGCTACCTGTTCGAGCACCTCAAGGACATCGCCGAGGCCTTCGCCGGGGAGCCCGTCGGGCGGTGCGTCATCTCGGTGCCGGCGGGCTTCAGCCCGGAGCAGAGGGAGGCGCTCCGTACGGTGGGGAAGCAGGCCGGGCTGCCGTTCTCCCTGGTGGTGTCTGACTCGGTTGCGGCCGCCATCGCGTACGGGTTGGATAGACCCGACCACGAGATGGTTGGGACAAGTCGGGACGGAGGGGAGTTCAAGTGAGTGCTGCTGTCATGCACGCTTGTATCTCCAGGCAGCCGTAGCGTACGTGCGATTTGTTCTCCGTGGTATGTTGTAGAACGTGTACTGTCGGTGTATGCGAAAAGAAAGGTTTCGATATACTTGTATGGTACTTCTGCTGCTGCTATCGTCGTCGTTTTTGGCCATCCTGTCAACCGGTTTGAGGTAGCATTGTATGGTGCGAACGGCCGCGGCGAAATGCACGTTGTGCCTGAAACGTCTGCAACGCAGTTCAAGCCTTCATCTGATGATATCATGATAACCTCCCTATCCCGGACTACGTGTAAGTTTGATAGCACCTGATGTAGCTGCATGTCGCCAGGACACGCTGAACGCTACTCGCACATGAACAACTTGTTGTGCCAATCATGACCAAAACCGCTGAGCCATCCCATGCCTACCTTGCTTGAGTGAAACCACACCCTCAACATTGTTAGTGCTGCGTTGCTGTGAAAATGGGCGCGTTAACGTTAGCCGCGACGTAGCTCTTGCACGAAAGCCACGTACTTGGACGGCACAACGCCTGTCTAAATACCGCTTGGTTCTCACCATCTACATTTACCATTTGCAATCTTGGTGCTCTTCCTACTTCTGGTGCTGTTGCTATTGCTATTAATAATACGCCTCCCTCCCTTTTGTCGCGGTGTGTCCCGTCCCTCCAACCAGGCCAAAACGGATAATGGTGGTTGTTGACTGGGGGGGAGGCGGGGTTGAAGCCACGGTGCTGAAGCGCACGGACGGCGTGCTCAGCATCGTGGGGAAGGCGTCCGACGCTTCCGTCGGGGGAGGGGTTTTCACGGAAAGATTGGTGGCGTTTTGCGCCAAGGACTTCAAGCGTCGGACTGGTGGGCTGGACATTTTTGAGAGCAAGAGATCTGTGCTCAAGGTACTTCGTATTTGACGCGTGTCGTGGTTGGGAGTTGTTCTGGTTCTGGAACTTTTGAGACGAGAGCTATTAATAGTGGAAATGTTGTGTTGGCATCTACGGCAGAGTTTGTTGCTGTTGTGTGTCTCCATGATGATTCTCACCTGCGAGAGGCAGACGGCAAACAGACCCCAAGAACCTCATTGGACAGATTTGTTGCGCGCCGTGTGAGGGCTGTGCCATGCTGGCCTCGCCCAGATGCAAGGCTCGCATCATCTCAGTCGCTGATGACGTACATTTTCACCCACCTCCTGTGTCGTTTGTGCACGTAGCGCAATCGTTTAAACCAAACCGCTTAGGCCGTGGGAGTGATTTTCACTATTGAATGTGAATGCATTGGTAGAGTTTGCTGCTGTTGTTGTTCCTTCCATATGTGGACTTCACGAGAGAGATGCCGTACGTGATGTATGCGGAGTATGTGTGTGCGACAATGACGCAACACGTATATTAGATGTATCCCCCTCTGTACTTAGCGCGCCTTCTACCTCTGTAACAGCGCTCTACGCGTGGAAAGCCTTCCGTATAAACGCCCTTACAGCAATGCGGCCCTCCTTTTCAAACCCTATTTGCGCCTTGGTACGCGTGGAAAGCCTTCCCTATAAACGCCCTTACAGCAATGCGGCCCTCCTTTTCAAACCCTATTTGCGCCTTGGAATTCATTCTCACGATGGTGAACTCAGCCAACACAACCTAACCATTTTTTCTTTTTTTTGGACAGACAACGGCTGTGTGTTTGCACTTGCTTGAAGTGTTAATTTACCCCACAGGCGTCAACCTCTTTGTGCTTGCTCCGACTTGACGAAAATCCCAACGTATTGTTCCTTCCTTGTTCCTTGTTCCTTTTCAGGTAACTCGTGCCTGCGAAGAGGCTGTTCGCACCCTGTCCGCGTCCGCCCAGGCAGACGTGTACATCGAGGCCGCGCACGAGGGGTGCGACATGAACGTGAAGATCTCGCGCACGCGCTTCGAGGACCTCTGCTTCGACCTGTACAAGGCGGCGGGAGGGGTCATCTCCAAGGCGCTGGCGGAGGCGGGGATGGCAACGGACGCGGTGGACACTGTGCTATTGGCCGGCGGTGAGCGGTGGCGATTCCTATGCATAGAACACGGAAGGAAAAGCGGCGGTGTGGTTTTCGATAAGAGACATGGTACTGTACACATCATTTCCCAAGGAAATATACCTTAGCAGGAGTGCCTCAGCGCGATGTGCAATAGTGACTGGTCCCTGATTAAGGCCGTATAGTAGTGCCGAGGGATTTTGCCGGCCTTCTATCGGGCACCCGGCACTTTTCACACTATTGAGACAATGTGAATAGTCGGAGTACATTCGATTGACACCGGCTGGGGTGGGGGTTGTGACAAGGTGTGTGTCTTCTTTGGTCGACCACGGGAACACAATCACCGCTAGCTATGCTATGGTAGGTACAGTATTAATAGATCAAAACGAACACTCGGGGGAAGCCTATTGTAGGTCACGCTGCGTACGTTCTTACGTTCATGGCGGCATCGTTCCTGGT